CAATCCACGTGCATGGGATATCTTTCCATTTCTTTATGTCATCATGGATTTCTTTCAATAATGTCTTGTAGTTCTCATTGTATAGGTCCTTCACCAGCAAGAGGTGTTTTTTGATGGGCATCAGCTACAGGATAGGGGGTAGCCTGAGGGGGCATTGGTGAGGCGTTTACACAGCAGAAAGCAGCCTGGGTCCCGGCCTCCCCTCATCCTGCTTTGCTCCTGTCACCAGCCGACAGCGTTGCATCATTCATCCTGCCTCCCCCAGGCCCTTTCCTGCCAGAAGGGCCTTCTCAGCACTGCTTGGGGGTGAAGGACCGTCTGAGATGTGGGAGCCATCCTGGCCATTCTCAGAGCGAGGCACGGATCCCACTTCTGCTCCTGCAAGTCCATTCTTGTGCCTGCTCCTGTTTTTCTCACCTATGAAATGGGTCACAGATGCCTTGCTCTGCTGGCCAGAGGGCAGGATTGAGGCTCGTCCGTCTCTGGGGGTCCCCAGCCAGCCAGCGGTGCCCGGTAATAAAAGACCAGACCGTTGGGTGAACGATGGAGGCGTCTCTTCCGTAGCATGGCTGGGTGTGGGGGCTGCAGCCAGTGTCCTCAGAGAATGGGGTGGGGCAGATGTTTGGGGAGGCTGTGGGGTCTCTGAGGAAAGCAGAGGGGTTTTGAGAACAGCCTGGGATGTATGATTGGCCGTCGCCCTCTGTCAGGCAGGCTCCTGGGGCTGTGGGTGGCATGACCCTGGGGCCTGCAGGTGCCAAGTTCGATGTTTCTGAGGAGGCATCACCTAGGGGGGCTGGAGAGCTCGGCATCTAGCCCCCACTCAGCTCTGTGGCCTTGAGCTTGTGATGTAACCTCTCTGAGCCTTGATTTGATCCTCTGTAAAATGGGGAGTGGGGGCGGGGCATAGAGCTCCCTCCAAGGGAGGTAGCAGAGGTGGGCACGTGGGAGGTCCCCAATTGTCTTAGCTTCACCACCTCAGTCACCCCGGGAGGACTGTCCTGTACTCCCCCTGTCTGGCCACATCGAGGTCCTGGCTTGCTGGGTGGCTTGGGCAGCCTGCCTTTGCTCTCTGAGCCTCAGTTTCCCCATCTGTAGGATGGACATTACCGTTGCTGCCCCCAATGCCCACCCCACCCTCCCAAGTGTTCTGGGGGTCTCCAAGGCAGCTGTGCCACAGCAGACCCCAGCTCTCCTTCTCTACAATCACACTCGGGTCATGTTGTGGTCATCTGGCAGCTTGTGCATCCTGTGTGGCCCAGTCAGGGTCAGGGCAGCCTCCAGACCCCTGATGGGCACCAGGCGCCGTGCCTTACCTCTCCAGCCCACACGTCAGGAGCCCCTCTCTCTCGGAGCACCCACTCCCTGCTTGTCATTTGCACCCCCCAGCCCAAGGAGGGCCTGAGTTCAATCCTGATGTCAGCTCAAGCTCTTTCCCAGAAGGCTCTTTCCTGGTTTCCATGGAAATTGGCTGGTGCATGTAGCTGTGGGGGACATCACCCTGGTCCCACTTCCCTGTGGTGTCCAAATCTCCCCCGCCACCTGCTGGGAGGGGCCCTCCAGCTCAACTGGGCTGATGTGAACCTCTGACCTGGTCACTCCACCCTGACCCTCCTCAATGGGGACTCAGCCGGGGCTTAGGAGAAGGATCCCGCACCTGCTCCAGGCTGCCCTGACTTGACTTCTGGGTTGGTCCTGTCCTGTGACCTTGGAGCAGTCCTCAGGCCTGTGAACCTCATGTTTCTTCATCTGTCACATTGGGGGTAGGTGGCTTTCTGGGGAAGCCTGAAGTGCCAGCCCTATAATTCCTGCCCCAGCTCTGCTCTCAATCTGCCTATGGCTCCCCATTGCCCTTCCCATAAAACCAAACTGTTCCCAGGCCCTGCCCACCTCCCACTCTCATCTTCCCCATGCTCCCTCTTAATCACGGTTCCAGTGACACCTGCCTCCCCACCTCAGGGCCTTTACATGTGCTGTGCGCTCTGCTTGGAGCATCCTTCCCCAGCTCTCCCAGGCTGGCTCCTTCCTGGCACCAGGTTCCAGCTCCCATGTTGCCTCCTCAGGGAGACCCCCTGCCGTTCCCTGGCACCCGGTCCCATCACTCCTTGTGCTGTGTCTCTGACTCTGACCCCATCTGAGGTCGCCTTCCTTACATGCTTTCCTGTCTGCCCCCCATGCCCATGAACTCCCTGTGGGTGGGCTTCTGTCTCCCCACTCAGCTCCAGCTTCCAGGAAATGTTTTTGCACATCCACCTGAACAGATTAATAAGTACACAGGGTAGTTGGAGGGAAGGCCTCTGTCCCGCAGTCCCAGTGCCTCCCCTGGGCTCCCGGCCAGCCCTCCAGCAGCGCGGGGTTCTTCGGCGAGGGGCGGTTCCAGTTTATCAGTCCTTCCCACCTTAGCCTGAGGAAACGGCGGCTTCAGTGGCTGCGGCTCAGGGCCTGTTTGGACATTCCCAGGCTGGGTGGGGCCCTGCGTCCAGCTAAAGACCCCACATTTAATGGAGGTTGGCCGTGCCTGGGTTCCAGTGCCTGCTCTGCCACCTCAGGTGAGCCTGAGTCTCCTTACCTGAAAATGGGCTAGGTGTGTTGCCTTCCAGGGTCACAGCACTAAGCAAGCCTTGGCTCAGGGAAGCCTGGTACACAGCGCCCCTCTAAGGAGTCCTTGCTGATAACATTGAAATGTGGGCTGAAGGGGAAACCGCTGCAAAGGGGGAGGCCAGCACGTTCAGACTGTGCCTCTGCTGCTGTGTGCGCTTGGACGAGTTGTGCAACCTCTCTGAGCCTCTGGGAGGCTGAGTGAGACCACTTTGAGACCAGTTGGGCTTGGCTGTCAACATTGTTGCTGTCCAGGACGTGTCCTTCCAGCCAAAGAAGAGCCCAGAGTCCTGGGAAGGAGACACTGATGCTTTTTCATTGGGAACACATCTCTGAGAGGCGGGGCCAATGAGACACATTTTCCAGATGAGAAATAGACTCGCTGGCATTTGAGGGGCTGCAGCGGGATGAGAACCAGCTCAGCCTGCCTCCACGCCCCTCCTGTTGCCAGCATTGCTAACTTGACCTTGGGCAAATGGCTCTCCGGCCTCAGTTAAGCCCTGTCGCTGTGCCCGAGCCTGGCTCACAGCTGTCGTGTCAGATGATTCCTGAGATCCCCGAGAGGCAGAGAAGACTTGGGGGCAGAGAGGCAGTGTCCTGCCCAGGGCCAGCCAGGCCACCTCAGAAGGGCTGGGATCCCAGGCACCCTGGCTGGGCACAGCCAAGGTGCCCAGGGTGGGGGTGTCAGTTGCCGATGCCAAGGGGTACTGCCTGCCATTGTTGGAAGGCAGCAGGGAGGTTGGCCGGCGCCAGCCTGCTGACAAGCGAACAGAAGCCAGAGCCCAGCCAGTGCCTCTGGCACCATCAGGAGGGGCAGCCCAGCGCTGGGCTGCTGCCCGACCCTTGCCTCAGTTGGCACTGTCCCTGGGGGTACCGTGGGACCTTCCAGGACCTTGCTGCCTCCCTCCTAGGGCCTGGCAGGTGGGTGCTGTGGGTGGGGACTCCTCCAGCACAGATATCTCCCACTTTGGGTGGCAGACCACGCCCATAGTTGGTCTGTGTCCACATTCCATGAAGCACTATTTACAGAGGGAAAAACGAGGCCCCAGGAACAATATATCCATCACCAGCACTTAGTGGTCACTCGCTGTGGACCAACGCTGTATGTTTTACTTGTATTCATCTTGTTAATGCTGCCCTCAACCCTCGAAGGTAGTTGGAGAAACTGAGGCAGGGAGTTTGAGTCACTTGCTGAAGGTCCTGTGGGCAGCAAGTAAAAACGAGCAGGCATTCAAACCCAGCCCTGGGCTCCTCCAGCAAGGAATACTCATCCCACAAGGCTCAGTTTTCTCATCTGCAAAGTGGGCACCATCACCCCCATCTGGAAATCAGGTCGTGAGGTGGTATTTGGGAAGTGCCTGGCCTGGCAAGGACCTGACACTCAGTAGGTGTTCCGCAGACCTCAGCTTCGTGCTCTTCTCCAGAGGGCAGAATGGTGACTGGGGCCTGGAAGTTGCAGGGAAGCAAACCACAGCTGGGAGGTATGGGCGACAAGTCAGGAATGTCACGGGAATATCAGGAGTCAGTTGGTGGCCTCGGGCTAATACCCCGAGGTCCGTGTGAGCCTCTCTTTCCTCTGTAGAGGGACCCTTGAGAGGGTGTGGATTAAGCACTTAGCAGGGGGCTTGCACGGCCCTGAAATGTGAGTCCTTATTAAGGCCTAGCTCAGATTGCTCCCTCGCAGGATCCCCTGATTCCGAACTTGATCTCTACCAACCCCAGCCTGCACCTAAAGGAAATAAGAGCCAGTATCTGGGAACATTTGTAACCCTTTCCGCCCTGGAGATTAAGGGAGTGCACTTGGTGAGTCAGAGAATGGGATGGTCTCCGGGGAGGTGCCCCTGCAACAGCCGAGCACTGGATAGCAGGTGTCTCCATGCACGGCTGGAGTCTGTCTGCAAAGAATCCCATGAACCACACGTCATGGAGAAGCTTAGGCTCACAGGCTGCATATGACGGGCTGAGGTTCCAATGCTTTCACCTTGATCTTTCCTCTCTGGGGCTGCTCGCCTGGGAGAACTCATATCCCATGAGAAAACAGGCTCACAAATGTAGGAATCATTGTCCCATGAGAAAACAGGCCCAAGGTTGTGCAGTGGGCTGGACAAGAATTCAAACCCAGGTCACTCAGGTCCCCAGTGGTTGTTCTCTGCCTCTGCCTTACCCCACTTCTAAAACGCAGACTGCGTTAAATTGCCACCCAGATTCCCCACTGTAGTGCTGTGTGACTTTGGGCGAGGATCTTGACTTCTCTGTGCTCCAGTTTCTGTAAAATGGGGCCAGTGGTCGCTTTGACCTCATGGGATTGTGGTTAGGATTCCGTTAATTCACAAAAGGCTTAGCAGGGAGGAGGCCCGACAGGGATGTCATTGGATCCCGTGGAGGAGAATGCTTCCACAAGTCCAACTCTCAAAGAAGTCAAACACTTCTAGAAAATCCCAAGGGACATGAGTAAGAGTCCACCTATTTCCACGTCTTCACATGACCCGGAGCAGCGACGGCGAGCCTGAGTGACCTCCAGGGAGTCTGTCCCCGTCGTTTGCAGGGGAATAGTGGGGAGTGAAGGAATGGAGAATTATCCACGAGTCCTTCGGCCGTGATGGACCGAGTTCACGGCCCGAGTTGGAGGTCCTGCTTCTGCGCTAGGTGGCCAGAGAGCCACACTCTTCGACACAGCCTCAGAGGACCCCGCGCGCGGCGTCCGAGGCCACCTCCGGCCGCGGCACTCAGGCCACACTACTCAAGCCAAACTGCACCTTGCATACTCCCGCCCTGCCCGGGGGCGCACTGCCCCCTGCCCCTGCGACTGGCCGCCGGGCCTGCCCGTCTTCGGCTTCACAGCCAATCCTCGTCGCCCTGTAGACTACGCCCTCCATTCCTCTGGTCCTGGTTGTGCCGGCTTCCTCGGAGCCCCGCCCTTGCTCCCCAGCGATTGGTGGTCAGGGCTGCCCGTCTTCTGCTAGGGTTCCACTCTTCGTCTCCCTCCAGGCCCTCACCTCCCAGCACCTCGCACCCTGGAGGACCACCGGGGGACACCCATAGCCTCTCCCAGTAGCCCTGCCTCTACCCCTCAGTGATTGGCTGCAGGGGCTGCCAGTCCGCTTCAAGCCCACCAATCCCTGCTGTCTCCAGCGATAATTGGCTGACGTGCAGCCAACAGGGTGCGGTGTGGAAGCCTCCCGCGGCGCGGGTGGGGGTGTGCGAGGCGGGGCGGTGGCGGCGGCTGGAGGCGGCGGCGGTGGCGGCGGCGACGCGTCCCAGCCGGTGAGGGGGCACGGAGGGCGCGGGGCGGCGCAGGCTTCTGGGGGCCCGCGCCGCTCGGGCCCAGCTAGGGCGAGGCATGGGCCTGTCATGGGCCCTCGGGCGGGGGCGGGCGAGGCGAGCTTGACAGCGGCGTCGCAGGAGCAGGAAGAGGTTAAAGCCCCCCCACCCGTACACCCAGCGTCTGGGGCCCCCGCGGCCGGATCTGAGCCCCTGGCTGTCAGCCCACGCACACCTGACACCACGTCCCTTCCCTTCTCGTTGACCACCCCCCCATACACCTGAGACTGTCCACCTCGCCGACATCGCCCACACCCCCAGGGCCGTGCCCCCAGGCCCCGCACCGTTGGGTCTGCACCCCCACACACACCTGAGCCTGTGCCCCCACTGATACTCCCCCTCACACCTGACACCGCTCCCCAACTCATGGGCATCCCCCACATCACCTTGGACCATCCCTTTCTCCATGACACCCCCACACCCCAGGGCTGTGCTCCCCGCACTGTGCGTCTCCACAACTGGGCCTGCACCCCCCACACCTACACCTGAGCCTGTCACCCCCAAACTTACAGCCCCCCACTCACACCTAGGCCTGTTCCTATCCCCTCACTGACTTTGCTCACCTCTAGGTCTGCACCCCTCTCACTGCCCGTTCCCTTCAGTAATCTGGGTCAGTGCCCTCAGGTACTCCCCCACACCCACCTGCTGTGTGCCCCTAGCAGCCCCTGTGGTTCACACACCCCGAAGTCTGTGCGCCCACCCATACTTTCTTACACATGCACCTGTGTATGAGCCCCTCTAGTGCTCCAACTCCCCAGGTCCTCCAGCGTTCACCCAAGCCTTGGTGTCTTGGAATCACTGCACACACACACACACACACACCCCACCACCCAAGAAAAGGCTGTCCAGATGTTATCTTTTCATTTATGACTATCTATAAAGTGATTTCCAGGCTTAGAATAATCTCATCAGCCAGACAAAACCAGAATTATCTCCATTTTACCAGCAGCAAACCCAAAGCTACTTGAATTGGGGAGGCAGAGCGCACCCCTCCCTGAACATTGCTGACCCTTCTCTGTGGACCTCCCTCACTTTGCCCATCTGTTGTGTTTATCTCTGGGGGGTTGGGAGGGGAGGCGACTCCCACCCTCCCTGCAGCTGTTCCTCAGCAGTCGTGACTTTGACTGGGTCCGGAAAGACTGAGCTGAAAGGGGCGGCTCCTGGTTGCTGCCTGAGCGCGTGTTCCCCCGAGCGGTGGGGGGGGGGGGGCTGGATGAGGGCAGCGGCGCTGGAGTGGGGCTTCAACACCTGGGGTGCCACCTGCTGGCCGGCAGGGTCACCTGGGAGGGAGTTGCCGGGCCTCTGGCTCCAGCTCTTGGAGACTGAGGCCCATCCCTGACCTGCAAGAACTCCTGGGGCCCTTGAAGCCCAATAAACCAAGAGTAAGGAAACACTCTTCAGAGTGAGGCAAGCTAATGTTACAGCCGCTTAGAGCCAAGCAGCAAAACTGGAGCCTGGCATAGTGCTGCGATAATGATTTTTCCAGAACTTTTCAAGTTCCCAGGAGTGTGATTTGCAAGTGTGCAGCACAGAAGGAGGCCGGTGGCTTTGTTGTTGAAAAGCAGTAATGTGGTGCCGTTTCCTGTAAGGCTTGCATAGTGCCTCTTACCCCACCTCCTGTCTCTCCCTGTAAAGATGGTGCTGGAATGTTCCGGAGGGTCATGTCATCTCTTCAGCTTCTCCTGTGGAAACTGAAGCCACTGGGGTTCTCTGTCCAAATTCAAAAGGAGTCATTTAAAACTTGTGTGTGTGTGTGTATGTAGATGTACATATATATACATATACACATATTTATATCATATACACATTTTATCTATACATATGTACACACATTTATTTTACATATACATACGCAAATACATAAACTTTGACAAGGTAATTGATGTACATGGTAAAAAAAACACAAAAGGGGGGCCGGCCCCGTGGTGTAGTGGTTAAGCGCGCACGCTGCGCTGCTGGTGGCCTGGGTTTGGATCCCAGGCGCACACCGACACACCGCTTGTCAGGCCATGCTGTGGCGGCGTCCCATATAAAAGTGGAGGAAGATGGGCACAGGTGTTAGCCCAGGGCCGGTCTTCCTCAGCAAAAAGAAGAGGACTGGCATGGATGTTAGCTCAGTGCTGATCTTCACAAAAAAAAAAAAAAAAACACACAAAAGAGCATACAGTAAAAACCAGGCAGGTCTCCTCCTGTCTGCACCCATACCCGTCTGGAGGCACCCATTTAATAATTTCTCCTGTTTCCTTCCAGAGATAGTCTATGGCTGGTGGGGGTGGGGTGTATCCCCCACCCCTTTTAAACCACTGGTAAATTTGCATTGAATTTTATCGAATGGGTCTGTTGATTTTATAACCAGTCCCTTACTGATGACTGTTTAAGTTGTTGCTCATATTTTCTTTTTAAACCAAGCTGCAATGAATAGGTAGAATCATGCATGAACAAAGATGCGGTGAACCTGTGCAGGGCTCCAGCAGTGCACAGATACTTCGAAACCTCCCTGTCTTCATGGAGTTTACATCCCATGTGGCGACTTCCTAGGAGTGGCTAGGCGAAGGGACTCATCCATTTCAATGGTTGATGTTCCTCCGAAGAGGTTGTGCTGTCATCCCTCTTCTCTCAGCTGTGAAGATGGAATGCTTGTTTCCTCCCCCAGCGGCCAGGATTATTATTATCAAGTGTTCTGGTCTCTGCAAGCTGATGGGTAAAAAACAGCCCAAGAGATCTTTTTGGACATCACTTCCGTGCTTCCTATCCATCTCTTAGGTGTTGTGGTTCGTGTAGTGGTGATTAAACATTAGATTTCTGTTTCTCTTCCACAATCAGACAAGTTCAATCCAGGAAATATTTGAGTCCCTCCTCTGCGAAGCTCTGAAGGAAACCTTGGGTTTGGGGGGCCTTGCAAGAGAGAGATGCAGGCATCACCCAGAGTCCCAGGAGGGGGGTTCTGAGATGTTGGCACATGGTACCTTGACAAGAACGATTGGCTGGAAGAATTATTTAGCTGTTGCTAATTTTTTTTTTCACTTGGATCCAGCAAAAGAACAAGGGTGTCTGATGAGATTGAGACAAATCAGATGTTAAATCTGTTTGGGAAGCTGTGTTGAGATTCTCCTGAGTTGTCTGAGATCCCTCACTGTGCCAGGTGGGAGGGCATCGTCAGCCTGAGGTCAGGCCTTTTCCACGTCATCCCATTTTTTGTTCTTCTCTTTTCTTTTGGCAGTTAGACGTTAGAGGAATACTGAGATGATCAGAACTGTTAGCTTGTTTGGGTTTTGCAAGCCAGCTCTTTTAAAAATGCATTGTATGTTTTATTTTAAATATGAAATACTTCTGAATAAAAAGTATATAGTATGCATGTGAAAAAAAAAGAAGGTAGAAAGAATAATAAAACTAACAGCCAGGTCAAGATGTAGAACATTGCCCCCGGTGGCCCCTCCCTGGTCACTCTGCTATTTTTAAAATATGCTTAACATTTGTTTTCTTCTCTGAGCACCTTTTGCTGTGGCTGAACACTTGGATTCCAGGGTCTCAACAAAGATCAGCAGAAGCCAGGTTTTCGGTTGAAGCTCTGCCAGCAGGGCAGCCGCCTGTAAGGTCCAGCGAAGGGAGCAGTGACCTCAGGACCATGGTCAGGTCACTCTCCGAGGGACAGGCCTGTACTGGGAGGTTTGGTCTCAGACTCCTGCTGTATTAGTGTCCTGGGGCTGCCGTAACAAATTATACCACAATCTGGGTGGCTAAGACAACAGAAATTTATCCTGTCGTAGTTGTGGAGGCGAGAAGGCCAAAGTCAAGGTTGGCAGATGGTGTAGACTAAATGTTTGTGTCCCCCTTAAAGTTCATATGTTGAAACTTACCCCCAGCGTCTTGGTAGTAGGAGGTGGGGCCTTTGGGAGGTGATTAGGTCATGAGGGTGGAGCCCTCATGAAAGGGATTTAACGCCCTTACAAAAGAGGCACAAGAGACTTCCCTTACCCCTTCCACCCTGTGAGGACACAGTGAGAACATGCCATCTGTGAACCAGGAGGAGAGCTCTCCCCAGACACCAAATCTGCTGGCGCCTTGATCTTGGACTTCCAGCCTCCAGAACTGTGAGAAATAAATGTCTGTTGTTTATAAGCCACCCAGTCTGTGGTATTCTGTTATAGCAGCCCAAACGGACTAAGACAGCAGGGTTGGTTCTTACTGGGGTCCTGAGGGGTAGTCCGTCCCAGGCCTGTCTCTGGGCTTCTGGTGGCTGCCGGCAACCCTTGGGGTTCCTTGGCTTGTGGCTGCATCGTCCTGATCTCTGCCTCTGTCTGCACTGGCCTTCTCCCTGTGTATGTGTCTTCTTATAAGGACACCCATCATTGGATTTAGGGCCCACCTGAAATCCAGGATGGTTTCATCTTGATATCCTTAACTCATTATATCTGCAAAGACTCTATTTCCAGATAAGGTCACCTTCTGAGGTTCTGGGTGGACATGAACTTTGGGGGACACCATTTAACCCCTACAGCTGGGAAGCCAGCATTTCTGTCAGGACGTTATTTGAGGAAGTGCTTGTCTAGCTGCCTTTGCTGTTTCGGACAAGATGAGGCCAGCAGGGTTGGAGCACATTTCCCAGCCCCTCCTGATGGCCCATGTGCATGGCCCCTATGGGCTTCCTGACTCACCTGCCTTCCTGCTGGAAGATGGAGGCGTCTGCTCAGAGTGAGCAAGGACCTGGACAAGTGGATGTGTACGTCTCAATTTTACTCTTTGCACCCCTTGGTGCATGCTTACCAGGCTAAAGCTTGGTGCTAGATTGTCATAGTTTTACAGAAGAGTGACCAACCTCTTCCTGGAAGTCCTGGCCAGGTGTGCAATGGCTTGTCAAGGAGCAAAAGTGTCACCCTGAGCAAATGGCACCCTGATCTCACCCTCGTCCCCAGGGCCAGTCTGTGACTTGGCTTCTCCCCTTCACGTACCTGAACCTCAGAGAACACAGGGTGCTCGTGACCCCAGAGAGCATCCTTCTGCTGTGATGGGAGACCCAGGGCGACTCCTGGGCCCGGTTCCTCTGAGATCCTTGAGGACCTCCTCCCCCAGTTCTGCCGGCTGCACCCCGTTTTAGGATTCACTTCACGGTTTGCTTTTCTAACTTCATTCATCTAAAGGACATTTTGTATCACTGCCTCAAAAAGAAACTTGTATTTAACTCTGAGGTTAGAGCTTCAAATGCGGGCATATGTGTTTGTGTGTGTACACATATATTCGTATGAAATATAAAATATCTAAGACATAAAGATATAGAATGAGGGGCCGACCCAGTGGCGTAGTGGTTAAGTTCGTGCGCTCCGCTTCGGCAGCCCAGGGTTCGCGGGTTCGGATCCCAGGTGCAGACCTACATGCCGCTCATCAAGCCGTGCTGTGGCGGCGTCCCATATATAAAGTAGAGGAAGATGGGCATAGGTGTTAACTTAGCGACAGTCTTCCTCAGCAAAAAGAGGAGGATCGGCAACAGATGTTAGCTCAGGGCTGATCTTCCTCACATACATACGCACACACGAAGATACAGAATGAGATGAAGATCTCCTCTCAAACCACAGCCTAGGACACAGGGTTCCTTCAGTCTGTTGATCGAGACCCAGATTCATGACATCAGTTTAGTTGGTTGTGATCAGCTTTAAGAAATTGAAGGGGGGTGGGGGGGCGCAGAGCACATTGTGTTTAAAAGGGCTATTGACTACTTGCTGAACCTTTTGTTTCTGTTAGGACACGCAGGCATGAGTGTGTTTGAGTGTAAGTGAGCCTGTGATGTAAAATATGTTTCCTAATGTAGGTTATAATCTAAAAGATTTCTTAAATAACTGGTCAGCTAATAAACATGAAAATTTTTTAAAAAGAAAATAATTCAGTACTGCTAGCAACAATGGAAGAAACAAGGTATAACAGAAACAAAAGAATGTTATGAAACCCTCTGTCCAGAGGGGCCAGTTGCCTCTGGTGCAGAGCTGGGGCCTGTGCCCTAGAGAGAGAGGGAGGGAGCAGGTGCTGCGGGCCGGGACTGAAGGAAGTCAGAGCCTCCTGCAGAACTGGAGCAGGCAGCTCTGGCACGGCGGATTGGGACTGCATGTGCCAGCTGAGGCCGCCCCGCCACACTCCAGGCCTCATCCTCGCCCACGTGGGCCATCGGTCACCATGTGACAGATGAGGAGCTCCAGACTCTTGAGAGGTGAAGTGACAACCAAGGAGCCCTTGTTCTTGGGCCCAACCTGGAGGGCTGGGTGCAGAGAAGTCCCAGCCAGGGTGTCCCCACATTGGTGGTGGAAGGGGCCTGGTGACCATCCTGAGCTTGGACACTGTGCAGGGCAGCGGGAGGCCCCAGTCAGTGAGGTGGGGGCCCTCCTGGGGTGGGGTGGGGTGCATGAATCCAGAATCCTGTGGCAATTGCGGGGTAAGGGGGCCAGTGGGGAGCATGGAGGGGGTCCCTGAGTGCGGTACTGAGGGGTCTGACCAGGGAAGGGCACTCCGGGGGCAGGGGGGTCAGGGGACACAGAGGATGGCCACACATTGGTGTGTCCTCTCTCTGTTATCAATGGATAGGTAAGTGGGGGGAGGAGAAATGCCGACTGCAGGGGAGTCTATATATCACAAGTCAGGCCCCTCCTGCCCTCAGCCCCTCACTCGACTATCAAGTCCCCATCACTGTTGACAGCACACAGTAAACACCTGGTCTACTTCTGGTCTTTACCTCCGGACAGTGTCCCACATGGTCCAGGTCGGTTCACCCATTAGTAACGGGCTGGGTGGCATTCTCTCGTGGGGGCTCAAGTCACATATTTCCTCTGTTCCCACCCCGCTGCATGGCTTCCCTTCAGACCTTCAGACCTTCACTGGGATTAGCAGCTGGCAGTGGCCTTACTGGCCCACAAGTCTGTGTGCACATGTTGGGGGCACAGCACACATCCCTAGGCATTTGTCAATTCACCCACAAAGTGGTGCCACCCTCAGTCTCCCTCCGTCTCATCGCACAGTTGCATTACTGCCCCGACACAGGCAAACACCCCCTCCCCAAAGGCCAGACCCGCCTTTCTCTGTTATGAGCGTGGTCAGCACCTGTCATATTTTTAATTTATTTTGTTTCCTTCTCGGTGACCTGGTTGTGTTTTTGCCTTTTTTTTGTCTTGGGTTGTTTGTTTTTTTCACTAATTTGAAAGAGCAAAGAGCTCTTTATTTCTTAGAGAAATTAGCCTTTGGCCCGAGGGACAAAATCTTGAAACACCCCCTCACACATTCCCCCAGGTCGAGAATCTCCTTCTGCTCTGCAATCCTGGGGAGCTGCCAGGAGGCGGCCCTGTTGGGAGCAGTGCACAGGCTGAGACTGCCTGCTCTGCTGGTTTCCCCCAGGTTCTCCCCTAAAAAGGGCTCTGTCTTAGTTTCCTGGGGCTGCTGTAACATCACCACAAACTGGGGGGCTTAAGACAACAGGGGATGCGCCGGGGATGGAGGTGATAAGCCTCCGTGAATCCCACAGACTGGTACCCCCAGCAACTGGCTTGAAAAGATTGCTAGGGCCTGGTTTCTCTGTTTGTGAGCAGTTTAGATTTATACAAAAATTGCGAAGGTGACACAGATTCCCCCATGCCCCACACACCCAGTTCCCCCCCCCATAACACCTGACGTTAGTATGTACGTTTGTCACAGCTAACAAGCAAATTCCAATACATTATTATTAACTAAAGCCCCTACATTATTCAGATCTCCTCAGTTTCCCCTAGTGTCCTTTTTCTGTCCCAGGATCCCACGTGACATTTAGTTACCGTGTCTCCGTAGGCTGCTCTGGGCTGAGATGGTTTCTTGGGCATTCTTGGTTTTGATGAGCTTAACAGTTTTGAGCAGAGCTGGGCAGGTGTTTTTTAGGATGCCCCCAGTTGGGATCTGTCTGGTGTTTTCCTCATGATTGGACTGGGGGGGCGGGTTTGGGGCGGAGGAGCACAGAGGGGAAGCGCCCTTCTCGTCACACCGTGTTCAGGGCACGTGCCATCCACGCGACTTCACTGTGATGTTGACCCTGATCACCTGGCTGAAGTGGCGTCTGTCGGGTGTCTCCACTGTAAAGTGACTCTCGTCCCCCCTTCCGTGCTGTACCCTTTGGAAAGAAGTCACTATTTACAGCCAACACCTAAGGGGTGGGGCTCACAATCCCCCTCCTCAAGGGCAGAGCATCTGCACAAATTATCTGAAATTCTTCTGCATGGGAAATACGTCTCTTCATTTACATCACTGTGGACTCGTGGATATTTCATACTTTGGATTATAATCCAATACTGCTGGATTGATTTTGTTGCTCAATTTGTTCCAGCTTTGGCCACTGGGAGCTCTTAGATTCTGCTCCCGTGTCCCACTGTCACACTCCAGCAGTTTTGGTTATCCTTGGCATCTCAGGGTGCTCCAGGCTCACCCTTATGTTTCCAGCTCCATCTTGGAAGCAGCCATTTCTCCCGGAGTCAGTAGTGGAGGGCAAGTGGAGCAGAATCCCACTCGTGCTTTTTAGGATGTTCCACACGGGCATTGATGCAGGGTGCCTGGGAGGACCCAGAGGGCAGGAGGGGCTTCCACAGCCTGGTCAGGGTGCATCTGCATCATTTGCATCATTTTACAGTGAAGTGTATTGATTTATTGGATAATTTTAAAGCGTGGGAACCAAGACCTCAAAGGACACTGATGCATGGAGACATCTTGGTGACACCTGTCCTTCATCCTTTTTTCCTTCTGGTCCCCTCACTGTGGTTTGCTGAGCTCTGCATGCGCTTCCACTGGGAGGATAAATGTAGGTTTCCAGAGAGGAGTCTTCAAGTATTAGGGCCCTTTGCTGTAAGCTTGGCTGCAAAGAGCAGGCAGCCATGTGGTAGGAAAAAGATTAATTTTCTAAAAGTATTTCCATGGACTGAAACTCAGGTCCAAGCTGACATAAGCCTGATGGGCCTTTGGCTCCAGGTAGGCGAGGCCCTCCAGCCTCCATGCCCCACAGCCCACCACACCCCTGCCTCCTGCTATGTGACCTCGCTGGGGTGGTTTAACCTCTCTGAGCCTGTCTTCCCAGTTGGTACTAGGGTTAAAAAAAACAGACAACTCATAGGCCTGTTTATGACAATCAAATAAAAGAGCCAGTGAGAAAGGCTTTTGTAAATGATTAAGCCGTCAGCGCTGGGGACTGTGGCATCTGGATGCCAGTGCAGGTGTCCTTCCCCTGCAGGGAGACAGGAGCCAGGTTAGGAAGAGCACATTTGCTTGGGCAGTTCTGGCTTCAGGTGACTCTGGGATGAGTCATAGGCCCTAGGCGGGTGGGGGAGGCCCCCTTCTCACCTGGTCTCAGCACCCACTCTCAATCCCCAGGACCCAGTCTCCCGCCGTCCTGAGCAGGCCTGGAATGGGTAATGGTGTGAAGGAAGGTGCGGTGCGTTTGCATGAGGATGCCGAGGCTGTCCTGTCCTCACCCATCTCTTCAAAGGCAAGTACCTGGCCTCCCTGATGGGCGTTCTCACAGGGTCCCTCTTCTATGCTCCTGCACCTGTTATAAATCACCCCCCACACACTGAGGTGGGAGCTGTGTCGGTGTGCCAAGGGGCGGGATGACAGGCCAGCCGCCTCCTATTCCATTTAGAGCCCCATTTGTGATGTGGATCCAGCTGGCCCAACCACTTGGCAAGAAGCCAAAACCTCACCCAAAAGTGGGATGTCAAAAGTGTCCTTGAGCCCCTTTTCTCACTCAGATTTGCAAATACAAAAGAATTAGCCAAAGGTGGGGCCTGCCCTGGGGGAGGGTGCTCCAAAGTTCATCTCTGATTGCACCCTTCGATTGGATGTATATTCCCTCTTAAAGAAATCAGATCAGCCCTGTCCGTGTTCACCATAGAAGCAGGTAGAAGTTCCCCTGGCTAACTGGAACACAGACTGACCCAGCCTCACGCAGAAACGTGTCCCCATCCAGGCTGGGGCTGCGGCGCCCAAGGGCAGTTCTCAAAGTCCACGGGGTCAAAGGCTGAAGCGTCATCCTTGGGCCTTCTAACCTTTCCCTGAATTCCAGGGGAAGTGCCAGGTGCCCTGCGAAGTGCCAGGTGGGCCAGAGGACTGGTTCGCTGGGCTAGTGGGTGCGGCCACCGTCACCACACTGGGGGGGACGGGTGCCAAGCCCCAGATCAGGCACGTCCATCCCTCACAGTCTAGTGAACTTCCCAGCTGAGCATGAGGGAGACGCATCCCCCCTCCGCTGGCCAGCTGCATGGATCCTGCCAAGTGGACGAGCCCAGCAAAAGGCCCCGGTGCCCGCCGTGTGCAGGGACACACACAGCGCGAGTTTTCCTCTGTACTGGCCGGCACAACACACGTCGGCCTTCGTCCACTTGGCCAGCCTGACTTTGGGCGCTCACTCTGTCAAGTCCCGTTTCTCTGGTTGAGAAGCCAAGCATCTTGTTGTGTTCACGGCCAGTGCGGATCCCATCTGTGACTCGCCTGCACTCACTCTACCGGGCTGTCTGCCTCATTCTCCATCTGCAGGGTCTCTCTATATAGTGGGTATGGAGACTTTGACCCCTCGGCGATGCCTGTGCCTAGCTCTTTAAAGGACACACTGGCCGTGGTCATTTAAGAATCATTGGAAGCATCAGCTGAATGCAGCAGCCGCCTCTGCTGAGCCCGTGAAGTGGGATCACAGCACGTCCCTGGAGTGCCACCTCGCAAGTTAGTGGTCAAGGACATGTGTGTCCCAATGTGTCTTGTGATTGTAAGAACCGCAGATTGCACAGGAAGTACCCTGGTGAAGGAGATGGAAGGGACACATCAGCTCCACCTCCAGTGCTGACAGGGCACGTGGAGGGACAGTCTGTGGGGTATTCCCTCTGCTCATAGCGGCCCACGAGGGCAGCGGTCGCTGCGTTGATTCACAAAGAGGAAATTGAGGCAGGGGGCCCGTCGGGCCTTGGAGTGGTGCCAGGAACACCACTGAGCATTCCAGCGTCTAACGTCCACACCCCTCAAAGCCAATGGGACCAGACGTCCAGAATCTTGCTGCGTGACTGAGAAAAGGCAGGGGTCCCCAAAGGTGGGACTCCGTGAAGCAAGAAGATGGAAGCCTGTGGTGAAGCTCGGGTTCAGAAACTTGGAAGGGAAACGCTGCAATGGAATTTGTTCTTTGACGGGAGAGTGAGCTGGGCTGGTGGAGGGGGCACAGGGACATTAGGGAAAGGAGCCAGCGCCCTGCAGGGGCGGGGCCTGGTTGCAGGGCACACGGCCCCTGGAGCACCCGAGACCCTCAGGAGAGGATCTGGGAGCCAGACCCAGGCCAGAGATGGCACCTTAGCATGTCCAAGTTGAGGAACGGGGGACTAGAGAGGCCATGCAGTCACTGGTGAGTCGGGCAGAGCCTGGACTCAGGCCAGGTGTGTGGACAGACTCAGGGCCCAACCCTTCAGCCCTGACCCACTGAACTGAACACACTCGGGGGAGGCCTGCCGACACCCACTCAGACGCAGGCTGCCAGCTGTACCCCTCAAATGCCCTACAGCCCCTCCTGGTCCCAGCCTCCACCTCTCCATCCTGGGTTCCTGCAAGAGCCACCTCGTCTGGTTACAGTTAAAATGGCCTGTCCACCTTCCATGTTTTTCCACGTCTCTTTGGGCAAAGACCAGCCTCCTCGTGGGGCCCCCAGGCTCTGTGTCTAGCCTCCACCCACCTTTCATCTATTTTCTCTTCCCTGTGCCCGTCCCTTTCCCTGGGTCAGCCACCCTGCCCTCCTTGTGGTCCCCCAGGGCCCCCTGCTCCTTCTCACTGAGGCCTGAGTGTTCTGTTCCTCCCCCTCAAATACTGTCACACATACCCCAGTTACCCACACCTAATCCTTCAGCCTCAGCCCCTCCCCCACCCACCCCCCTGCCCCTGTGTCTCCCAGAATCCTGAGCCCCCTCCTCACATCCCCTGCTGGGTTGGTGACTGTGTGCATATTTGTCTTAAGATTTAGTTCACGTCTGGCTCTCCCTGTGGACTGGCAGCCCCATGGGGGTGGTGGGGCTCATACCTACCCCCACCACACACTGTGTGTCCCCAGGGCTCCTCAGGGTGCCTGGTGTGCGTCAGACTTCACGGATTTCTGGGATTATTGAATGACCTGCCCCTCGCCATCCTTGCTCATTTCGGAGCCAGGAAGATGGATGTGCCTCCAGTCCAGAACATTCCAGAGTGCTCCCCGCAGTTGCTCATTGAGAGTTTTGTGGCAAGCCCACTGGGGGAATGGACATTCCAACTCGATGAGCAGGTGGCTTCCTTAAGGCTCAGATGGACCTGCAGGAGAAGGAGGGCTGTGCAAGCAGGGGTTCGGGGAGCCTGGAGAAGTCGGGAGAAAGCGCTGGCCCTGAGCCCGAGGCTGGTGGAGGGAGCACTCAATGTGGGTCAGCCACCAGCACCATCACGGCCACCCTCGCCTTGCCTGGATAAAGAGCCACAGTCCGACCCCTGAAGTCCTGACAGAAAATGCTGCCACAGAGTCAGGGTCTGCTTGCCTGACACCCCTGCCCGGTCCCCAGACTATAAGGGCCCTCGTGACTGCTCTGAAAGGCTGCAGTGCAGGAGTCCGGCACACACGGGTAGTGGGCAGAACCAAAGTTTGCACGTGGGATGGGTCAGGTGACTCTTCTGTTTGGGGTCAGTCCTATTATGGGACTGAGAACTCGGAACCTCATGGGACGGCCCAGACAGCGCGTCACCTCTCATGGGGATGGTCCTTGTTGCCCGGGAGATTTTCACTGTGTCCTTTGCAGCCACTGGACTCACCACAGCTTGCCTCGTGCCCCATGGCGCCCAGGGCCCGGCCAAGGCCACACTGCTCTGGCCACTGCATCTCAAGGCCCTGGACCAGGGGTGGGAGGAAGGCAGCCCCCAGGCACTAACATAGTTTCTAAATGGATTTTATTTTATTTTTTTATTTTACTTTTTTGTGTGTGCGAGAAAGATTTGCTCCTCCCAGGTACTGGGTACTGTCACCAGCAGAGCAGACCCCTCCCCTCCCTCACTGACCTCACATGTTTGGGGGTTTTCTTGCAGAGCGATCACAGGCAAGTTCTCAGCTCCCTCCTGTCCGGGGCCCTGGCCGGCGCTCTCGCCAAGACAGCGGTAGCTCCCTTGGACCGAACCAAAATCATCTTCCAAGGTAAATGCTGTCTGTCATCCGTCCTGTGCAATAGAGACGCCGCCAGGCAGTCACTCTCCTCCTCCACAGCCCCCCAAACTGCACTGCAAATTGGCTTTAAAAACGTCTCTTTAAAATCCACTTGGGGTGCCGGCCCCGTGGCGTAGCGGTTAAGTGCGTGCGCTCTGCTGTTTGCAGCCCAGGTTCAGATCCTGGGCGCGCACCGAGGCACCGCTTGTCAGGCCACACTGTGGCAGAGTCGCATATAAAGTGGAGGAAGATAGACACAGATGTTAGCCCAGGGCCAATCTTCCTCAGCAAAAAGAGGAGGATTGGCACGGATGTTAGCTCAAAGCTGATCTTCCTCACCAAAAAATAAATTAATTAATTAATTAATTAAAAAAAAAAAGGGCCGGCCTCGTGGCTTAGTGGTTGAGTGCACGCTCCGCTGTTGGTGGCCCAGTTTCGGATCCCAGGCGCGCACCGACGCACTGCTTCTCCGGCCATGCTGAGGCTGCGTCCCACATACAGCAACTAGAAGGATGTGCAGCTATGACATACAACTATCTACTGGGGCTTTGGGGGGAAAATAAATAAATAAATAAAATTATTAAAAAAAAAAGAAAAAATATCAGCCTCCTCCCTGAGGAATGAGCTGAGGTGGGAGAGGGCAGGCCCATGCCTGAGCAGGCGTCTCCCCGTGTCACCTGGAGCTAATGCCTAGTGCATCGCCCTGCAGGGAGCTGTGCTAATCCTGAAGGCTGTAGGTGTGCACACATTTCCATGCAGATGAGAGTGCAGGGGTGTCCGGGAACACAGCAGACACGTGGGAGTGAGCAGGGGGAGGCTGCAAGACCACCACCCTTCATGGCCTGTATGCTGGGTCCTTGTGGCCACCATGGCTCCAGGCCCTGGTGGCAGAGCACACCATGGAGCAGTGGAGCGAGCCGGGCCACCACGGAGGGTGGGAGAGGCGGGTTAGGGGCGCCTGCACCAGGGCTTCCAGAAGAGAGGGCAGACCCCAGACCCAGGAGGCCCCTGGACCTTGTCCTGAGGGAGCTGGAGCCCCTTGGCTGATCCCCATGTCGCTGGCAGCTGGGACACCTTCCCCAAAGGAGTTTGGTTACACTGGAGTCCAGCAGGGGTGCGGCTGCTAAGTGTCAACCCCCTAGAGGTACGTCCTCCCACAGGGTCCTGCGGAGACTCTTGCTGTCCTGGGGGGGTCAGGTGGCAGCTCAGCTCCCCTTCCTGGGGACAAGTTGGTGTGCAGAGAGGCCCGGGGCATGGGGTGGGGGCATGCTCCAGGGCTGCTCTCACTCTGCATGCTCAGACCAGACCCCCACTGTGGGGGTCAGGCAGACTGGGGGTCCCGTCCTTCACAGCTAACGGTCTCTGTTGTACTTATGTTTTTTTCCAGTGTCTTCGAAAAGATTTTCTGCCAAGGTGAGCCACTAGGTCACCATCTGCCCTGCTGGGCTGGCAGGAGGTGGTGGAGGAGGGGGTGGGGGTGGGGAGGTGCTTTCAACGTGCTTTTCCCCATTAGTTGGCACCCCCCAGGCCAGTTCCCAGGCTGCTGGGTGACAGAGCCTCCCCCCTAGGCCTGGGGCTGGGACCACCTGTCTCCACACCCTGAGGTCTGCCTGGACTTGGCCCACCCTGGGAATTGACGGGCCACCCTGTATCCCTGGGGCAGGGACTTGACGTTCTAAACCCACGTTTTCATATTTGGTATATTTTTAAACACAGAGCAGGCCGTTAGCTTCTTAATAAAGGAAAAGATAAAGAGTGTTTTTAAAAGCTAGACTGGCCAGACATCAACAAAACCCCCTCCGTGCAGGCTCTGAGCCTGCTTTGTACCTGGTTTCCCGTGCTCACTTTTCAATTCCCAGGGTCGGGGGACTGGTGGGGGGGGGGTCCCAGTGAGGGGCCCAGAGAATGGGGGCGCGGTAAAGCGCGGTGGGATCGACAGTGTCGCCCCAGGTTCAGGGCTGGGCAACATAGGGCAGGTGTTCCCAAGCAGGGGGGAGGGGGTGGGCAGTGGGCGTTGACCTTGCCCCTCTCCCGCCCTCCCCCAGGAGGCCTTCCGACTCCTCTACTTCACCTACCTCAACGAGGGCTTCCTGAGCCTGTGGCGCGGGAACTCGGCCACCATGGTGCGCGTGGTGCCCTACGCCGCCATCCAGTTCAGCGCGCACGAGGAGTACAAGCGGGTCCTGGGCCGCTACTACGGCTTCCGCGGAGAGTGAGGCCCCGCCAGCCCCTGCCCGGCCCCCTCCTCTCGCCTCCCCACCCCGCTCCCCCATCTCCCTCGTATCACCCTGTTCTCCGTTCAGCGCCCGCTCACCATGTCAGCCCCTAAGTCCCAGGAGGGCCTGTGATCCCGACTGTGCCCCAGAGCCAGTAGGGAAGGTCCGCATCATTCATTCGTTCATACAAGCCGGGGAAAGAAAAGGCAGCCATGGGCATCCCAAAATGACCTCTACCCAAGACACCCCATCAGCTTGGGCCGCGGGAAGCCAGCCGAACCTGTCCTCCATCCTCCGCCCCGCTGTGGCTGAGGCCTGTGGGCACCGTGGGTCTCGGGGGTCTCACTTTCTCCCTCGCTTTCAGAGCCCTGCCCCCTTGGCCCCGCCTCCTCGCCGGCGCTCTGGCTGGAACAACGGCGGCTTCGCTGACCTACCCCCTGGACCTGGTCAGAGCGCGGATGGCGGTGACCCCAAAGGAAATGTGAGTCCCACCGCGGTGACTTTCGCCAGCAACAGAGGCTCTGTGTCTAGTGGGGCTCGCAGATCGGATCCCCGCACTGGGCCCCTGAGCTTTGGGTCTGGGCCTCGGCATCCAGCGCAAAGGAAGCTGGAGGCTCAACACTTCCCCCAATGTGGACCCTGCCTGGCACCAGACGACCCGCTGGGCCAGGCGTGCGGTTCCGTAACTGTTGCCGAAAGGCACCACTTTGCCCCCCTTATCTGCGGGGGAGACCTGCCAAGACCCCCCCAGGGATGCCTGAAATTGCAGATAGCACCCAACCCTGTATATACTGTTTTTTCCTATACATACTTATGATAAAGTTTAATTTATAAATTAGGCACAGTAAGAGTAATAACAATAATAAAATAGAACAGTTATAACAATATACCTTAATAAAAGTTATCGTAGATCTTAGCACCCTCAGCATACGATTTTTTGAGAGCTTTCACCTTTTCACTTAAGCACTTGGCAGCTTCTCTTTGGCGTATCCAAATTGCCAGCATCACTACTTTTGCGCTTTGGGGCCATTATTAAGTAAAATAAGGGTTAGTTGAACACAAGCCCTGCAAAACGAGACAGCCAATCTGATGACCGAGACAGCTGCTGAGTGACTCGGGGTGGGTGGCGGATACAGCGTGGACACACTGGACGAAGGAATGATTCACACCCCAGGCAGGATGGCGCGGGTAACTGAAACCTTGGAAAGCAAAACCGTGGATAAGGGGGGACCACTGTAATTGGCTCTCTTAGCCTGGGGGTCAGTTTCTGCTTCCATTAAACCAAGAGTCTGTTTTGAGCTGGGGACAGAGGCGTTAAAAATTCTTCCGAGTAAAAGCCTCAGGATGAGCCCAACAGAGTGACCCCAGTGGTGAAAGTGGAGTTTGGCCTTAGGTGCACACTTCCTCTCAAAGGCCAAAGCTTTTGCTCCACGGTTCGGTCAACATCTAGCGCCAGCCCCGCTGACTGGGAGGAGCCCAGAATTACTGGGTGGGGGCCAGGGGCCCCTCCCTGTACCAGAAGGAAGGCAGCCCACCCTCCACTCACTCTCTCCTCGAAGGTACAGCAACATCTTTCACGTCTTCATCCGCATCTCCCGAGAAGAGGGGCTGACGACCCTCTACCACGGATTCACGCCCACCGTGCTGGGGGTCATTCCCTACGCCGGGCTGAGCTTCTTCACCTATGAGACACTCAAGAACCTGCACCGAGGTAAGGAGCTGGAGCCTGGGCCACATCACCAGGGTCACACAGACCTGGAGGCGGGGCATAAAGACCCCCTTGGGAAGGGCAGGCTGAGAGCCCAGGGCCCCAGTCAGGAGGAGAGGAACCTGGACTCATGAGCTTCAGTGCCTCACTTGAAGAGCAGCCGTGTGAAGCCCAGTGTGTCACCCCGAGCACTGGCGGCCACTTGTGCACGACATGCACAAAGCATAGGGATAAAACCTAGCTGGAGGGGCGTGCCCTCTGGCGCTTGGGTTATTTTGGGAAACTCTGAAAGTACAGAAACGTGCAGAGAACGGCATAACCCCTCCCAGACCTGCCGCCTGGTATGAACAGGCGTTAACATTCTGCCTCCTTTGCTCCAAGATGTTTTTTGTTAAAGAAAACGTTCCAGATAAAGCTGAGGTCCCCTGTGCCCCCCCCACCCCAGGCCTCATTGGAAGCACAGGCTGCGCCTCACTGTGGCTGAAGACACTTCTAGTGCATTTATATGTGGGGACGAAACCTTGCACTGCTTCCTGGGCATGAAAAGGAACTGAGTGGAGTCACCTCGCACTTCTCACAGCCTGGCTCTGCCTCAGCCTGTTTTGAGTCCATGCTGCCTGCACCCCGGGTTCTGGCCCATCCTTTGAGTGTAGAGTGGGCCCCCCCCTGTTGGGGGGCCTTCGCTGCTCCCAGGTATTCTGTGATCAGCTGACACTCGGGGCGGCTCTCATGAGAGCCCGTCTGGGGTTTTACTCTCCCTGCTAGCGGCTCCTGTTCCGGGCCAGCGGCTCCTTAATGTTTGCAAGCTCCAGTTTTTAATTCCTAGATTTATTTATTTATTTATTTTTGTGTGAGGAGATCAGCCCTGTGCTAACATCTGCCAATCCTCCTCTTTTTTCTTGAGGAAGACTGGCCCTGGGCTAACATCTGTGTCCATCTTCCTCAACTTTATATGGGATGCCACCACAGCATGGCTTGCCAAGCAGTGCGTCGGTGCACGCCCAGGATCCAACCCGGGGAACCCTGGGCCACCGCAGCGGAGCGCGAGCACTTAACCGCTTGTGCCACCGGGCCGACCCCTAATTCCTAGATTTAAATTACAACAGTTTTAGAGAACCCCTGTTGATGGGTTGCTGCCCCTCCTCTGTCCCGCCCACATGTCCTTGGTCCCTTTTGGACCCACAAGGCAGCGCCAGCGTTCACAGTTCTGTGGAGGGCACCCGCCTGGCAGGCTGGCGGTGAGGGTCGCAGACGCCGGTGACGTTTCTTTCTTTACGAGACAGAAAACAGGAGTGAGTAGATGGAACCCTCTGCCATGGTACCCAGACTCTGTCTGGGTCTTAGGACTTGGTTATGTAATTCTTTGTGCTTTTCTGACTTTTAAAAAACTCATTGTTCAAATTTGATTTAAAAGGAGGGACAGGAGGTGAGGAAGGGTGAGAGGGCCCAGGCCAGCCGGCCGGGTCCTGAGACCCCGGGGTGACATGGCGCAGGCGAGTGTCAGTGCAGCCCCCTCACGTTGCCCTCACAGCGCGCCCTCCCTTGCCCTGCAGAGTACAGCGGCCGCAGGCAGCCCTACCCCTTTGAGCGCATGATCTTCGGCGCCTGTGCTGGCCTCATCGGGCAGTCGGCCTCGTACCCGCTGGACGTGGTGCGGCGGCGCATGCAGACGGCCGGTGTCACGGGCCACCCGCGCGCCTCCATTGCGCGCACCATGTGCACCATCGTGCGGGAGGAGGGCGCCGTGCGCGGCCTTTACAAGGGCCTGAGCATGAACTGGCTCAAGGGGCCCATCGCCGTGGGCATCAGCTTCACCACCTTCGACCTCATGCAGATCCTGCTGCAGCGCCTGCAGAGCTAGGGCCCTGCGGTCAGCGCTCTCGGGACAGGGAGCTGGGCTTCAGTGCGCGGTGGACCGCTGACCCCTTCTATTTCTGAGCCTATGGAGCAAGGGTGTGCTTGGTTCTACACCTGGGAGCCGTGTTGGAGCGCCTTGTGGAACAAGCAGATAGGCCAGGGGGGCTTGGGCTCAGCGCCTACAGGTGCAAAAGGAAAGCACCCTGCCCTGGAAGTGCAGTGTTGGGATGGGTGGGCCAGGGCCTCCTGCGCTCTCCTCTTCCCTCCTTCCCAGGGCTGGCGCTGCCTCCTGGAGGTGGGGTCCTAAACGCCCTGAGTGGGGAGTGGCTAGCGCCTCCTCCTGGCATTCTGTGTCCTTAGACATGCTCCTGGTTCTAGTGACTCGGTCCCCGCTGGGCCCAGAGCCAGACGCCTGCCCCCTGTTGTTCTGAGACTGTGCCCAGGGGAGGGAGGAGCCGAGAGTGCGGGACAGGCCTGGCTCAGGCCCTGGGCCCTGTCCGAGATGGGACCAGCCTCCTGCTCAACTGTGGCTATAAATGCAGGCTCCTGCCCTGCCCCATCCCACCCTGCCTGTCTGCCTTCGCCATGACTTCCCAGGTGACACGACTCCTCTGTCCCCAGAGCCTCCTGTTCGTTCAGGAACAGCCTTCTCCCCAGAGTGTTATCCTGATCCTAGCCCTGGGATTAGGTCTTCCCCTTTGTTGCCTGCCCACCTTCTTTGTAATGTTCCCAGAAGGTTCACGCCTCCTTCCAGGCAGGAGGGTTGGAGGAATCGCCATGGGTTTGGGTCTGAGCCCCAACTGGGGCATCTACTGAAAACTGGGTGCCCAGGTGGCCTCCTTGGGCCGGGAAGTTCCCGCCCCACAGTCCTGACCTCTGCCCGTAGGCATGGTGGCTCCTAGGGGACCCGTGGCATCTGGCACATCACTGGCTCCCTACCTGAGCGGGCGCTTGGCAGAATCACAGGGCAGTTTCAGGCTCGGTGTTGTCTGATTTCCATGAACAGAGCACGTGGAGGTGGCTGGCAGCCTTGATCCTCCCAAAGGGGGAGCCCCTGAGAGAGTGTACAGCTTGGGGACTGGAAGCTCAAGAGGAGTCGGGGTGCCCCAGGGCAACCCCAGGGAGCTCTGCTCACAGAGAAGTCCCTGGGCCCGCCAGTGTCACCAGGACTCGGAAATGCCTGGTTCCTAATGACGTTTGGAGTTTCTTGATTTTTTTTGTTTTGTTTTTCAATTTGGCTGACACTGGGTCTATTCACAGCTCTGACTCATCCTGTCTGGTTCCAGGACAAGGGGGACCAGGGGTCAGGTTTCACAGGGCTCAGCAGCCAGGGTGTGTAAAAGGATCTGTTAGGGTGTATTTGCCCCATGACTATTTCAATCAAAACTTGTGTTTCTTCCCTTCATTGTGTCTTGTTTCTGTTCTTCTTGCCTTGGACCCATGGGGGTGAAGACCCCTCTTTCTGCCGTTCCTTGCCCGTGTCCACCGGCCAGCCCTAATCTCATCCCCAAACTCATCTTTGGGCCCAGGCAGCCTGTGATGGCTGTCCTGTTGGGTGAGCATCCCACCCCGTCACCCAGCCTTGCCCAGCACCCAAGCTTGGCAGGAGAGGCAGGGTGGCCCCCACAGAGAGACAGGATAGGGACCCAAGGGCGCCCGGATGAGAGAGAGCAGCAGGGACTGGGGGTCCACCCCAGGCCGCTGAGACCAGATGGATTGTTGGGCAGCGCCCTCCTTTGAACCACAGGCTGGGCAGGAGAGGGAGGGTCCCCAGGGCCTGCTGGCCCCAGTGTGCCTCCCCGAGGTGGCTCCGGGCCAAGTAGGCCCATACTCGGCCGGGCTGGTGTGCTCTGCCGTTACCCCCCTCCCCAGTGGTTGCCTGTCCTGGTCTGGAGTTACATTTGATGTCATGAAGACACTTTGTTTATATATAATGTTTATATATTTTAAAGATTTGTGCCAAGAGAGTATATTTAATAAAAATTAAAGTGACTTTTTCTCCTGCCCATGTCTCTTCTTCGGCTCTGACACCCACGCCCCATGAACCAAAAACAGGGTTGAAGTTACTTTGACAGATTTTTGAATAAACATTTTTTTAAAATGTACCTGCTGTTTGAATTGCTGATACATAAAATGATTTTCTAGAAAACACAAACTGCACAGAAGGGTTTTCACAGTGAAAGCTACATCAGCCTCCCAACGCCCTCTGCTGAGGCGTCTCCCATTACCAGTTTCTCTGGTGTCCTTCCAGAGAGATCCTGCGCGTACACACTTGTCCCTTTTGGGAATGTGTGCGGTGACCCACGGCGTCAGTTGGGATGGGCTGCGTCCTGCCTCACCGCGTGCCGCCCCAGAGTCCCGTGGTTTCTCTCTCCTGCGCCCTCTGTCTGTCGCCTGCTGAGGGCTCTCCTCCACCACTGGCTGAGGCTTTGGGCACCAGTATCGCCGTCTGCAGGGGTGGGAGGGTGAGGCCACCAGACGGCTCACAGCCACCTTTGAGACTCGCCTCACCTGCAGCGCGCTGCCCAGGGAGGAGAAGGGGCGACTAGGTGAGCTGGTGTGCCTCCGAGTGCACGTGTGTGGTGATGAGCAGGGCGAGGATGTTCCGCCTCGTGGCGCCCGAGCTGCTCTGCATGGTGCTTTCATCCTGCCGTACTTCTTGTGTGTCGGTCCCTGTTGGTGCGGGTCTGTCTCATTGTTTAGTGGCAGTTTCATACTCCTTCGGGGGCAGCCCGTGACTAGATCCACCCGTCCCTTATTGTGCGCAGCTAGGTTGTTAGGGAGCTGTTGCCAGGACAACGTGCCAGTGGCTCCTGGGAGCTGCTGAGCGTGCCCCCCACATCCATCCTGATGTCTGGTCAGTCCCACCTCTTGAATCAGCTCCTGAGCCTGGGGGATGGAGGTCAACCGCTCCCCACTCCCCCCCAGCACTGTGGCATCGCCTCATTTATAGAGGTGGGCACTTGACCCCATCTGGACCTGTGACAGTAGAGAAGATGTTTACTGGCCCCTTCCAGGGAGTGCTTCGGAAGCACCCTTCCTCTCGCCCACTGGCCCCAGGGGAAGAAATCCCAGCCCTGGTGGTCGTTGGGACTGTCTTGTGTCCATGAGGTAGGAACCAACCCCATGGTGAAGCTGACACTGCAGACATCTCTGCAGAAAGTTTGGCAGAGATGAGGAGAGGAGTTGGATCCCTGGTGACATTGTCTGGGCTGTTGGGTCCAGATTTACTGAAGCTCAACTGCCTCTCAGCTTCCAGCAGCATGAGTCACTTCATCCTCTTTATTAAGACAGAGTTGAGTTTCCTGGCATTTTCTTTTTTAATAATTTTTTTAATTTTCTCCCCCCAAAGCCCCAGTAGATAGTTGTATGTCATAGCTGCACTTCTAGTTGCTGTATGTGGGACGCAGCCTCAGCATGGCCGGAGAAGCGGTGCCTCGGTCTGCGCCCGGGATCCGAACCCGAGCCGCCAGCAGCAGAGCGCGCACACTCAACCGCCAAGCCACGGGGCCAGTCCTGGCACTTTCTAAAACAAATCTCTGTCTGTGCCTCCTTGGGTTCACGTGCTAGTGTGTCTGTGGTACAAGTTTCTAGGAAAAGAATTGCTTGTTAAAGATCAAGAGATACGTTAACGTAGCTGACCCTGCCCAAAGGGCCAGTGGTGGCCCTCCACAAGCCCAGCACTCATGGTTCTCACCAACTGCTTTTCGCTGTTGGGAAACGCTCCCCAGAGTGGCCTTCCCCGCTGGAGCATGACCCAGCACCCCAGGAGCAGCCCTCAGCCAGCAACTGCAGACAGTTGGAGGGTAAGTGGTTCAGCTCCCCCCTGGGTGGGGCCACTCAGGTGCGTGCTGTATGCTGTCCCCCTGGGTCCCAGCAGGACCAAGCCCAGCTTGCCCACGGGGGTCACCTGCTCACTGGCATCTCCTGCAGGATTCCTTCCCTCCCGGTCTCACATCCCCATCCCCATCAGGCCTCCATATAGGGTCACTTCCCAGGAAAACCTCATTGTAACTGAGTCCCTGTGATAGGGCCATCTTTTGAGGGAGTCCATCCAAAGATGAGTAGAAATGCCAGACGGTCCTGCAGAGAGATGGCGTCTATTTACAGCATGCACCCTCAGTGTATGAGTTCCTGGAGACACGGTAACAAAGTACCACAGACTGGTGGCTTAAAACAACAGTAATTTATCCTGTCACAGTTTTGGAGGCCAGAAGTCCAAGGTCATGGTGTGGGCAGGGCTGGTTCCGCCCGAGGGCCACGACGGGAGCATCCGTTCAGGCCTCTCTCCTTGGCTCGTAGCTGGCCGTCTTCTCCCTGTATCTTCACGTCGTCTTCCCTCCGTGCAGGTCTGTGTCTGAGTTTCCTCTTGTAAGGACGCCAGTCCTACTGGATCAGGGCCCACCCTAACCACCTCATTTTAACTAAATCACCTCCTGAAAGGCCCTGTTTCCGAATACAGTCACATTCCAAGGGCATGGGGGTTAGGACTTCAACATATGAATTTTGGGGGGACACAATCTAGCCCTTAAACACCAGCGGTCAGTCACCAGCCTTTTTGACCTTAGCTAATCTGACAGGTAAACAATGGCGTCTCACGATTTAGTGCTACCCCTGCTTTTCCCTTTGTTCCTCCCCGTAGTCCGTTCTGGACATCTTTCCTTGTAGGAAGAACTCAATGTTTTTGTGTTCTTACCGGCTACGTAATTTTCCACAGTTTATTCATTTATTTCTGGGCCAGCTTTGTGCCACCAGAACTAACTCGGTGACTGTGCCCTTGCTCCTGCTCCCGTGGGCGAGAATCTCCCCAGCATGTGTCCCTAAGGGACTTGCCAGCTGAGGGGTCATCTCTTCCAGGTGCTGCCAAAGGGCTCTCCAGCTCGGTTGTGCCCACGCGGGTGCCCACGGGCGGCCTGCAGGGCTCAGGCTTGCGTCTGGTGGCCTCCGACTTCTGCCAGTGAGGGGAGTGACATGGTAGCTCCTTGCTGTCTTAGTTCGCATCTTCCCATGATCTCTTGCAGGGCGAGGCATCTCTTCTGGATTGTTGACCATTTCTTCTTCCCCCTCCTCTTAGCCATTCTGTGTATTGAAGCCCCAAACACCAGGCTTGGTAGGAGAGGCGGGAGATGTTCTCCAGTAACATAAACAGGAATTTCGTGACTGTCGTATTGCGCCCTAGCAAGACAGGAATGGGGATGATGGCGATACACTGGAGACTAGCCAGGCACACAACTTCTTCACATGGGGCCCCTCAGAGCCACTGTGTGCCACAGGCCTTGTGCATCTCCGGGAAGGGAGGAGTTGGGGTTCCAAGACTTGCATCTACCCTGGGGAGCTTCCTTCAGGATGGGCAACGTGGATGTGCAATGCTATTCCAGCTCTTGCCTCGAAAAATTTAAAAAACATGCCATGGAACTGAGGGGAGGCAGGTGGGAATCCTGGAGGGTGTCTGAGGAGAGAAAGACCCCTCCTAGGGTGTTGGGAAAAGCCCCTGGAGAGGCCTGGGAATTCCCTGCAGGGACGGTGTCAGGTAGCAGCCCCTGAGTCTGGCAGTGGGGAGCCATGGAGGGTGCTTGAGCAGAGGAGGAAGGATGGAGGTGGGAGCTCAGGTGGGGAGCGGGTCAGGGACTGAGTGAGGGGAAGGACGCAGGGTCTATGGGCTGAGAAGATTCTGCAGGACTCTAGGCGAGCATGGGATCAAGAGCGCCCCAAGGCCCAGCCCCAGGCACCCACCTTCAACCTGGGAGAGGCCAGACCTGGATTCAAATCTCCTAATTTGTGTCTTCCTAGGAACTTGTCACGTCCATATGATTTCTAATAATTCCTAGAATTCCCTTAAGATCTTTGTTGTCTCTGCCACGTTTGTGACTCTTTTCTGCCTTCTCAAATTTGTTATCCATGACGTTGTGGGAGACCCGGGTCCTGGCTCTTTTATTTTCCTGGCTGTCATGACTGAACGTTGTGTCCCCCCAAAATCTGTATGCTGAAACCTAATGCCACTGTGGCGGTGTAAGGAGGTGAGGCCTTTGGGAGGTGATTAGGGTTAGATGAGGTGGTGAAGGTGGGGCCCCCATGATGGGACTGGTGCCTTCACAAGAGTCACGCACAAGAGAGCTGGCATCCCCTCTCTGCCCTCTGCCATGTGAGGATGCAACAAGAAGTGGCATACAACCCAGAAGCAGGCTCTCACCAGAACCCGACCATGCCAGCACCCTGATCTCAAACTTCCAGCCTCCAGAACTGGGAGAAATCAATTTCTGCTGTTTATCAGCCACCCGGACCATGGTACCTTGTTATAGCAGCCTGAACGGATGAAGCCACTGGCAAACTGCTCCTTCTCTCACTAAGTCACAACCCAGTTTGCTGCTGATGTTGCCTTTCCCCTCCCCTGGCTTGTTCCAGCATGGCAGAGATCTGGGATTTTCTCTCAGGAGCTGGGTGCCCTGTGAGGCGCTCATGCTTCCTAATCAGAGTGGCTCCATGGAAGAAAGGGTCTCGGGTGGGGATGGACTCTCTCACAAAGCCTCCCTCTGGCTTCCAGGCAGAGCCACGTGCAAGGGACAAGCCACAGGCTGGACCAACCACAGCCTGGGCGAGCAGCCATCTGCCTGAAGCACGGAGGTGGCGGCAGGGGGGCGAGGACGTTCAGGTCAGGGCGGTTTTGAAGGTGTTGCTGACAGGTTTCCCAGCGGGCTGGGTGTGAGGAGAAGGGGGGGGTCAAGGTGACCCCACATATTGATGTAACAGGAAAAATGGAGCTGATGTGACTGAGGGGGTTGGAGGGGAAGCACAAGGGCTCTGGACGCGCTGGGTCAAGCTGCCTGAGATGCCAAGGGCTGTAGAACTAAAACTGGGATTTGTTGGTGAACACGTGGGGCCCAATGAGTGAGGATGGACAGGAGGGGAGGGAGAGGGGACCCTCCAGAGAGAGGGCGGGAGGGGAAGCAGCAGGGGCGGCCAGGGAGGTGGGCAGTGGGTGATCGTGTGGTGACAGCCTCAAGACGTTAACTAGTGTCTCCTTGGGGCAGAATCATCCCCTCCTGTGAGAAGCACTGGAGTGGTCGTTACCATTGATGTGTCAATTTACAAAAATTAAACAACACAGTATTTATCTTGATCCCCCCCTCCCCATTCCATCTTTCCTATTTTTCTCACTCTTACTTTTTTTCAAATTGTGAAACGTGTCACAAAAAACGTCTGTAAAAGTCTATGTGGTTTAATGCACAGAGCCTGTGACCCGTCACCGGTTCTTCCTGCCTTGGCCGTCCGTGCGTGCTGCCCACCTTGCGTCTGTTGATGGTGTGTCCACCTTCCTCTGCATCCCTAAACCCGTGGTGTGGAGCTCCGAGAGCAGCGGAGAGCAGCACAGCCCTGGCTCAGCGAACGAAGGGCTTGGACGCCTGGGCGCTGCTGCAGGAGGGGCGGTGCCTAGTGGGCTCAGGGCGGTGGGTGTCAGTTGACGGGGAGTCCCTGGTGACTCCCGTCAACTTAAAAAGCAAATATGCCTGTTCTTTTACCCTCAAAGTGAGTTTATTCGGGAATAGCCAAAAGAATTGCAACTGGGGATGTGCGTGCTGTCGAACCATAGGAAAATCCGAAAAGCAAGTAGGGAGACGCTTTCATAGAGGAAAAAGGGGGAACTGTGGAGTTTCTCATTGGCTGAGCTGCGGCATTTCTCATTGGCTGAGCTGTGGCATTTCTCATTGGCTGGGCCGTTGCCCGGTGAGGTGAGAAATCTTCCTTCAATAGTAAAGTAGTTTTGTTTTGTTTTGTTTTTCATGAGGAAGATCAGCCCTGAGCTAACATCCGTGCTAACATCCGTGCTAATCCTCCTCTTTCTGCAGAGGAAGACCGGCTCTGAGCTGACATCTATTGCCAACGCTCCTCCTTTTTTTCCCCCCAAAGTCCCAGTGGATAGTTTTATGTCATAGCTGCACATCCTTCTAGTTGCTGTATGTGGGACGCAGCCTCAGCATGGCCGGAGAAGCGGTGCGTCTGTGCTCGCCCGGGATCCGAACCCCGAGCCGCCAGTAGAGGAGCGCGCGCACTTAACCGCTAAGCCACGGGCCGGCCAGTAGTAAAGTAGTTTTATTTCCTGTCCCAGATGCAAGCGTCCCTCTCTTCCTGTTTGGTGTAATTGACGATGTGTGAAAGGGCTTGAGAGCGCCCCCTACAGGACTTCCGGACCCAATTTAGTTATGGTTTCTTCTATTAATTTCCACACTCCTGGGACACTGGGGCAATAAGTACAGGACCTGCAGAGCTGGGAGATGATGCTCCTGTATTTTACTGGAATTTTGAAAAGGATAAAAATTGGATGATGTGTTTAGTTCACCTTAACCCAAGTCTTAACCTTGTTTTTAACATACTTTTCATTTTTATCCACGTTACAAGTGCAGAGCTTCCAAAGCCAAACCCCACTCTAGGAGCTAGGACAATGGCATTCTCTGCTGTTCCAGCTCCTATTCTTGGAGCCACTGTGTCTACCATGTCTGGTTGTAACCTCACTTTCCTAAGTGGAATCATGCTCCCTTTGGGTGGTTGTTAAGATATGTGGCAAGTTAGTGGGGCAGATGACAGCTGGGGGGAGTGGTGAGGGCACTTCTTGCCTCAGGTGACCCACACCTGACACAGATGAGGGAGCCCAGAGCAGATGGTCCTGGCACAGGAACATGGCCCCCAGGTGGGTCACATGCCGGTTGGCAGGGCATCAACAATGGGCCCTGCACGTGGGCCATGGGGTCCTGGCCGATCACGTAGGCCTTTGGCTCTCACTGGTGAGGGAAATGACCGTGACTCTTTTATTTTTAATATATATTTTACATATACCAAAAAGATTCCAGAATCCACTCGTGGGTTATAATACACACATGCATGCACACTGAGTGTGGCTACAGTGACAGGAAAATTCCAGGGCCCCTGACGGCCCCTCACCCTCCTTCCCCTGGGTCACCACAGCCTCAACAACGTGCACGTTTGCCTGCGTGTGACCTTCACACGGAAGCAGTCCCCGCAGCCCTGTGGCAGAGGGCCTGGGTCACCACCTTCCCCTCCCTCCGTTCTCCCCCTTCTCCCCCTGGTTTCCCCTCCCATGCTTGCCCTACACTCTCCCCTGCACTCTCTTGCAGGGCTTCATTTTCTGGTCCTCACACTCTCCTCTCCCAGTCTCTTCTCCACCCTCCCACACCCCCAACACCTTCCCTTTCAGCGGTGACTCCTCCTCTCTTTCGGGTCTCTTCCTTCTCCCCCTAACTTCTCTCCTCCAGCCCCACTGTGGCTTTTCCCCTCGCCCTTGGTCCATTTCCCCCCTTTCCTCCTCTCTGCACTTCTAACTTCCCACACGGACACGCAGGAAGCCGCCTGCGAAACCACTGGAATCCTGTTTGTAAAAAGCGACCTGCCCCTTTATTTGTTCAGAAGATTGCCCCTCCCTCTGTTGTCAAACTGGGCACACGACCTCCGGGAACTCTGGGAACAATGGCCGTGGGACCCTCTGCCACCCGGCCCAAGACAGTTTCCAGGCCGAAGCTGAGGGTCCAAGGGAGTCATGGCTCAGGCACTGTGGTAAAGGGACGGGCACAGCGGGGACTCCCAGGCCTGCCTTGCACCTGGGGACACTGAGGCACAAGCGGAGGGGGCGCCCGTGTCCCATAGTCGGCTAGGAGCCCGCCAGGTGCTGGTGGAAGTAGAGGCCGAAGAGACTGGAGAGCAGCTGGCAGGCGGCGGTCCACCAGATGAGGAAGGCGAGGACGCCGCGGAGGAAGAGGGGCGTGAGCAGGCTGCTCAGGGCCCCGGCGATCCGGGCCGCAGTCTGCTGGGTCTCGTCCTCCCAGGGGCCGACCGGGCCATCGCTGCCCGTGGATGGGGCGGGAGACAGCGGGGTGACCCGGCCCAGGCCCCAGGAGTAGCCACCTGCGGGAGGAGTATGGTAGGGGGAGACATGGGTGGAGGCACAAGCGGGGTGTGGCTCCCGGACTCCCAGCAGAGCTGACTTTCCTCTGCCCGGCCCCATTCCCGGCCCCGCCCCCACCTAAGCCCCGCCCCACCCGTGGGCCCGCCCCTGCTCTATCTCCGGGCCCCGCCCTCACCCAAGCCCCGGCTCCGCCTCCGCCCCGCCCCGCCCTGACCGCTCCTCCTCACCCAGCGTCTTGAGCAGCAGCGTGCAGTTGAGCGTGAGGATGAGCGGCGTCAGGTACTGCAGACTCACCACTGTCACGTAGCAGTAGACCCGCACCACCTGGTGGGCAGGTAGCAGTGGCTGCAGCAGGGCACCTTCCGGGCTCCGGGTGACCCCACGCCCCAGGGACCCAGAGCCCCGCCCTGAGCTCCCGGTTCCCTCCCTGCCCGGGGCGCCCGTACTCGCCGCTGGATCTCGCGGGCCTCGATGCGGCCGGCCTCCCGCCGCAGCTGCTCCACGCGGGCCTTGGCCAGGCACAGGTAAGCCTGCAGGTGGGGCCGGGTCACCGCCAGCCGCAGCAGACACAGAGCCACCAGCACCCAGAGGCGCAGCGAGTCGAAGGCCGCGTCGGACAACCTGCCCGGAGTGAGGGGCGAGGGCGCTAGCGAAGCTACCCCGCCCCCGCCACCAGGGATTTTCCTCCAGGACCCAAGGCTCCTCCTTGAGCTTTGGAGACTGGAGTACAAACGGGTCCCCAGCCGCCCTCCTTCCCAGCCCCACCCCCATACTCACAGGGAGTAGGGTGTACCCCCAAAAGGTGCCTGGTGCAGGAAGTCCCGTGCAATGGGCTTGGTCCAGAGCCACAGGACAAACAGAGGGGACAGGAAGCTGGTGTGCAGGAGGAACCTGGGGGCAAGGGAGCAGAGTGGTGAGGCCTAGGCACCCACCATCTCCCTAGCCTCTCCCTTAGGCTCCCTAACCCCCACCCATCAGGCCCCCAACATAACTGCAGCATGGGCTGGTCTTCTGACATGGTCAGGGCATCCCGGTGGGTCTGGGCCAGCCGCAGGCCTGGGAAGGTGAGGAAGGCACCCAGCATGGAGCCCACGACCGCTAGCCCCACACGGATGGCCAGTTTGGCCAGAGGGAGCCTGGGGAGAAGAGAAGAGTCAGGCAGTCCCAGGCCTGTCAGCACCCTACCTGCAGGACGCAGCCTGCCCCTGCTCCCCCTCCCTTCCCAGGACTCACACCCAGTCCCAGCCCTGCATCTTCAGAAGTGGCTCCAAGTTCTGGGTCATGCTGGCCAGGCCTGGGGAAGACAAGGAGAGGGCAGTGTTCAGTAGGCCCCTGGGGCCTCAGAGCCTACTCTGTCCCTTCAGACATCCTTTTGCTCTTAGGTAGGAACACACCAGTGGCAGCCAGGCCCTGTGCCAGGCATGAGGACAACTGTGCTCTGGTTGTGTGTGTCTCTTTTCAAAGAACAGGAGAATGCACCAGGCTGACACCCTCAATTGGACTGGGAGACATGGGGTCGGGGGGCGGCACTGAGTCTGAGCTTCCTGGATTATACCAGGAATCTGCAGGGACATGAAGGTCTCCTGTAGGAGAAAACCAAAGCCCTAGAAAGAATCCTCGGTTCAGGCCCCCAGATTTCCCACAAAGTAAAAGTAAATCAACACAACCAAAATCACCAAACACGCAAGGAAACAAATCACCATAAAGGAGAGTCAGCAGAAAAAAATAAAAGACAAGTTTAGACCCCAAGGACTTCAGAAATTGGCATTACCAATTATGTGTGAAATGACTGAGGAAAATAAAAGCTGGAATCACAGAACGGGCGACATGCGACTACCTCAGATAACTGGATGGGTTTGCAAAGGAACCAATTAAGCTCTTCTAAAGGAAAAATATAATTACTGAAATGATATGTTATTAAACAGCATATTAGAAACAGCCAAAGGAGGAATTAATGAATTGGATCTGAAGAAATCAGTCAGATTCCAACTCAGAAAGACAAAGTGGGAAATATGAAGAGAGATTAAGAGGTAAGGAGGGGGGCCGGCCCGGTGGCGCAAGCGGTTGGGTGCGCGAGCTCCGCTGCGGCGGCCCGGGGTTCGCTGGTTCGG